TAATACAGAAATTTTTGAAACAACTACGAAATAATGTAAGCAATGTGTTGTCTATATTTACCTTTTTATTTCTGGAACATTCAAGATCAAACATCTGATATGACGTATAATAATAATAATACATGTGTACAGAAATATCTCCTGCGTTATAATCTTACTTTCCCTCGTCGAAAGACGCATATTGTAACTAAAGAGCGCGCATTTTTTAAGAAGACCCCAATGTTTTTCGATTGAACAGTACGAGCGGCGGGCGTGGAGAAGGGAAAAAAGGGCGTAGTAAGTCATACGGAGAGGCTCGTACGTCATACTTCATCCGGGCCAACGGAGCAACACATGGAAAAGGGTTCTCTCCACATACAAGGAACGCACTCACTTGGGCTGCCTCTTTAGGTCGCTATGCTATAGTGTGAGGTCTGTGTTACATGTGCCTGAGTTTTCGTATACCTTTATACATAGAAGAGATCTGAAATTGATCACCTGTGTACAATATGCCCGTCTACACTCGACGCATATCCGTCACATAATCTTTTAATAATCCGCAAAAATTAATTTTAAGATATGTACGCATTGATATGCAAAGGCAAACCGTTTATTGATGAATATTATTTTTATCGTATTCTCTCTTTTCATCATGTTCTGTTAATCATCGATATCTTTAATTTCATAAAATACATACAAATATTATAAAATAAGATATTCTGATAATAATAAATGTGTTATCTTTTATGTCAATCAAAAGAATAATTTATGTTTATTTGTATTTTTAATTTATGTTTATTTATATTAATAGACATGTTTATTTTATAGATGATGATGCTAATAAATTGCGCAAAGGGAAGCTCAAATTTGTGCAAAGCTGAACTGGAATATTTCTGTTCCGTAAAAAGGGAATCTTACGAGCTCCTGAAGATCGGAGCTGATCTTCAGTAGTACGAGAGTAGAACACTGTATTACCGGCAAATCTCGTAAACGGCTATAGCAGCAAGTGGGGGTTCCTGAGGAGGGATAAACGAGCCGAGCCACGATTTCGTTGTCGTAAACGTCAAAGTTACGGTTACAGCGTTGTTCCTAGCTGCTTTATATTGAACGAGGTTGCTCCCCGAGGTACGTAACACCTACCTACTCGCAACCGTCGTATTGCAGAAAGTAGCACTATGCTCCTTTCCAACTAGGGAACGACGCAGTCACCACGTGGCTTTTACGCGGGAATTCGGCAGAGGAGTTCAAGGTTCGTTGAATATCCTTTTAGCCATACCACGTGCTAAGTAATATTAATTTTCTTTTTGTAATTTATATAATTACAAATGTATTGTGCTTGTTCAAATAAAAATTAACATAAATTACCATCTTGGTTTATTTTTATCTCTTTGATTTAAATGGATACAGATCGTTGAATCATTTGCAAAAATTGTAAATTACATTATATTTATTTTTTTTAATCAATATTTATTTAAATTCAACGGAAATACAGAACTGTAAACTTTGAAAACGGAAGCTATATTAACGGCACGTTCATCCGGCATATTTATTTTGATTAATATTCCTGTTTCAAGTTATCATCCCTTAATGTAGCTTTAAAAAGGATCCTTTTTTAGATTTGCACCGTAAAAGAGGTTCGCTCTCAATAGACCGAAATGAAGAGATGCCTAAATAGCACCCCAGCCTCTATCGTCGCGCCCTCTAATTACCCTGTAGACGCAGTCACCCCTCAATGAGGAGTGATAAATATTGTTCGCATTTGGGTATATCCCGAGAAAGTGAATCAACTCTATAAAGAAAAGTATCTATACATACATATTTTTCATTGCTATTGGTAAGCGCGCGCATTGCAGATTATTTACTAATAAAATGTTTTTAATTTAAAGATTTCCTATTTTAATTATTAAGAATAGAAAAAAATTAATTTCAATATTAATATATAAAATATTAGAAAAAGGATTTAAAATATAAAGATGAATAGTATTTACACTAAATTGAGGTCTATTTACAACCTGTCTGCAAAATATACGAAAAAATTATTTAAATTAAAGATCACTTCTTTTTTCGATAAAGTCATGTTTTTATGATTAAATATTTATATATTTTTTGCTTAAGTTAATGAATATATTACCTTTATACTTTTTATCGTCATGTGTATCTGTTATTAAATTAACCGTATTGATACAGGCATGTTAAGTATACATTACATTATTATAAGATAGAAGATAAATAAAAGTAGATATATTGTAGTTACCTATAACACATTAATTCTATCGCGCGCGCGCGCCATAAAGCGCCAGCTTCCTAAGCGATTTATGAAATGCCAATTAACAAAAAGAAAATAATATGTATGTAAACGTTTAACGTTGTAAATATTTTTCATAAAAAAACAGAATTATAAACTTATTCTTTTAATATGGAGTATATATTATACTAGACTTATATTATGGCTATCTATCGCTTTCATATTTATATGAATTGGACGTATAATCGATCTTGTAATCGTTTATCATACATTTACGATACACAAAGGTGTAGTTAAAAGCGCGATAAATTAAGCGACAGATGCAGTATTTCATACTAGCATGCATTCTAACTATATAATTATCTTTACTGCGATAAGTATTTAAAGAATGAATAGAGACAATAGACATATACATCAATTTTTAGCATTTCATAATAGCTGCGGTAAAGGTTTAAATGGTAAGACTTGTAATATCTATTATTATTGTGCCATAATATAAGTTATATTATACTGATTTAATTGTAATACATAGTCACATTTTGCATCTTACGTTTGAAAGAGATTTTTTAAGCGTTAATTAGACATTTTATATAGTGAAGAGCAACGTGAAACTTTATAGTATCAACATAGTGATCATAAATGATACATTTATCACCTAATCTAAATATGATTATTCAAAATATTATAGAAGCTATGACGTGTAAATTAATTGTCTACAGCCAAGGCTATAAATTGGGATCATTCATCGTATACAATGATAGATGATTGCCGATAGACATTGATAGCTCTATATTTAACTGCAAATCTACGACAAATTAATCCATAATCCTGTACCGATAAATTTTCCTATGTGCTCGATCCAACAACATTGAAAAGCACTTGTTAGAGAGTACAAAATGAGTCAACGACTTTCAATCTACGAGTGCATAGAACCTGTTATACGAGTATGCGGCCGATCAAATGCTTTTACTCATTCCTACAATTCCTACAATCACTGCGTTCCATGTATCATCGAGGCAATTTGCAAGCCATAATCAATGATCCGGAACATCCAATTGATTACAATAAAGATGAATGGAAATAATTCCTCTAAATTCTTAAACAGATGACAAGCAAAAAAATATCGATTTAAGTAAGATAATAACTTCGTTTATGCATGTGTATGTACGCTCGCGTGTTTTTCATAAATGCTACAATTCAGAATGTATAAACTATCAGAAATTTTTAAGAAATATTAATTTTTTAAGTAATATAACGCTAAGATACACATACATTTAAATGTTAAAAGTTATTTCTTGAAAAACAATATGGAAATTCATGTTGTACAGTTTATACATTATAAAGTTCATCAAATAATATTTTAATGTTTCTTAAAACATAATTCCTTCCTTTATATGTAAAATATCTCTTGTAGTCGAAGATGAAGAAAAAAATAGGTGACCCTTATATCGGACCGAAAAGAAAACAATAAAGAAGATTCCTGTCGAGAAGGAAGAGCTAGAGGCGGTTTTGAGCAAAGAAAAAGAATAGATATAAAAAAAAACTACTAGAGCTAGCTAGGGGCCTAGTCTCAGCTGAGTTAGTAAAGAAAGGTCTCACCGAAAGTGCGATATAACCCATGAGGCCTTGATTATATATCTATACTAACGGCAAAGCAGAAGGTTATTCGAGAGTATCTCTCTCGCAATGAAAAGGACAAAGACATCGCTAGAAACAGCTGACTACCGGAATTCGGGGTTCCGGTGGGGTGAGTACAGTGGGGAAGGCACTTGAACCCCCAATTGGACGAGGACTTCCCCATTATACCCAACGTACCCAACGATTTTACACGCACTTGACTCCATTCTACCTATCTAACAGACATAATTTTGCCAAGGTACACGGCCGATTTTCCACAACATAGCCCGCGCGCGTTGACATTGCACACACGGAAATAAAAAAACTCATGGAATTTACATTTAATACGAAAATGTATAGAAACGTGGGGTAAGACTAGCAATTTAAAAGTAATTATAAGCACACATTTATTAATAACTATTATATTCGTTATTATGTTATCAAATAACAATTTTTGCGTTCAGCAATTGCGAATCTACGAAAACTGACTAGTGACTACATTAGAAGCAACAGTAATAATTTTAATTTTACATAAAAAAAATTTCGAAATATTCTTATTAATTACATGCAATACTTTAATATCGTCTTTTTACGACTTCAATCTTTAGTTGCTGTTAATCTTTTTGTCATCATATTTATTCGACCAGAAGGTAATGAAATGCTTTTAGTTTGTCAACGATTGTAAATCTGTTATCTCGGGTTTCATGATGGACATGCCATATTTCAAAACGACGCACAAATAGACTATGCAAAAAATTTCGTTGCATTCGGTATGGTAGTATGATAAGCTGTATTCGTCGAATAGAACGTATATCTGCATCTTCCGCTTTTTTGTAAACAAAGGAAGGGTGAAATAACTCATTGTGTTGACGCGGACGCGCAATAGAAAATTTTTCATCCATTTGGATTTATTCGTGATACATGTGAAACATTCTATTTTATAATCTCGTCTCGCACAACTTCTAGGTAATTTGATCGCGTGGAAGCAATTTTAACAATTTAGTCTGGTATAACCAGACAGGCAAGTCTGATCCACCACGCCTTCCCGACCACGTGGTCGTCGCTCCCCACGTTTCCCCTAACCATAGTGGCTCCTATATTTCATCGCGGCTGTTATGATAATAGTCGTATAAGAGAGCATTTATGAATGCAAACTCACCTGCTATAGCCATCCAGGGGTAGAAAGTATGGTTGGTGGTAGGTTGCTGATGTAGTTGCGTGGCGACCGGTTGACTCGCGGACGAGTTTAAACTGCAGGTGTTCCAAGACGACGTGAGGGATCTTGACGAACTGTTGTTACCAGGACTCGATGCTGGATCACCGCCTACGAGACCACCGTAGCTACTAACCCTTGTACTCTCTGGGGTACACGCAGAGGGACGTACGACCGAATTACTCTGGCTGTTCGCTCCCGAGGTCGCTGACTGCCAAACGTCCTTGACCGCCGCCGCTGCCATCACCGCAGCATAGCCGTTTTGATGGGTCGACGTTTGATCCTGTTGCTTACAGTCTTTCGTTGCCGTTGTTGAATATGAAGATGTGGTGTGACCAGTTGCTTCAGGTGTCGTCGAGTAAAGCTTGCAAGCCGTCGCAACGCTCGCGTCATATGGCGAGTCTTGAGGTGGTCTTGTATTGCTTCCACCGCCTGGGTGTATTCCTAACGAAGATGATGTGTGATGATGATGCTGCGCCGAAGCGTAAGGCGACATACCTAATCCGAGTGGAAAGCTTCGATATGCTGCTGCGGTGGCTGGATCATGATGCTGACTTGCCGCTCCTGTTTGATGATGGTGGCTTCCGTAGAAGCCACCCGCGGTTTGCTCAAAGTACGAGTTCATTATCCCGGGTATTTTGGATCACTTGCACTAAAACACCGGCACTCAAAAAAGGCGAAGAAAGAAGTCAGAGTTCAAACGGCCCGCAATTACATGGAGTGCACACGGCTAGTCGAATTTTACTAGTCCGTACTCCAACTTTGATGCCGAATTATTCCGATTATTTAACTTCTTCAAATTAAATAGATGTAAAATCTCCGATTTTGTATTATGTTCCGAGTTAAGATACACATACACTTAAGAAAGCGATATGCTGTTTGACGCGAATGGCGAAAGATGATAAGATTGATGAGGGGCAAATAAACGAGCATTAAACAATTTTAAGAGGTCATAAAAGTCATCGGCAGGTATAGCTGGTTACACCCGGAGTGTCAATGTCAGTAGGCCGTAAGAGTGTAATTCAGAATGGGTTTCATGTCAACGGCGGGAGCTTTTATGATCTTGTTATGGTTACTGCTACGGGCAAAGCATAAACTGGTGGTCTCGACTATGGAAACAGGCGATGATCGTTAAACCGTTACGATGTAATAAACTTAGGTAATAAGACGGGCTATAAAATGGCTTGTGGGTTCCTCTACCGCGTGCTCGCCCGACGACGGTTCGGTCAGCCGGCACGCGACCACCCTCGCGGGCGGTTCTCTCTTTCTTCCTCTTTTTGAAATAAATTAAATTCGCGATTGATCAGGTCGAGGCCTCTTGAAGAGCCAGTCGATCTGTCACAGAATCAAAAATGACTCTGCTAGTCCGCACTGCACTAGCACTTGTCGTATCGTGACTTCGCTGATGACTGAGGTCCGGTACGAGTCAGAGGACGATGGAGATCGTAACGAATCACGGTATGCCAGTGCGGTGGTCCACGGCACACTACCGCTTTTCTCGCGCCCCGTGTACCGCCACTCTGTACCGTCGTCCGTCTCTTGCTCGCTCGTTCACCTCGTTTTGTCTCTGTTCTTCGTAGTCGACTTCTCTCGCACTCTCTCCGAAGTTTCCTTCCCTGTTCTACCAACCACCGTTTCTCTATGCACTCTCTCTCACTTTCTGTCACGGTCACTCCTTCCCATTCGTGCGGTTCTCGCTTCTCGCTCACGCGTACTCTTCCTCCAGAGTACTACGTCCTAACGGAGAGATCGCAGTGCCATATCCCTCTTTGTCCCTCATATACCATCCCCCTCCTGGTACGATAACTGAGCTCTCTCGCTCTATCTACCTTCGTTGTTGTCCCCCTCTTCCACCCCCAACGTTCTCCCCACAATTGCTCTCTCACCCTCTGATTCTGTCTCGCTCCACCTCTCAACGATATTCGTTCTCTCCCTTCCCATTCGAGCTATCCTCTCCCTCTTTCTCACAATACGATTCCTCAGTGCCCCCTATCGAGCGTTCCAGTAACTCAACGACGTACCGCCAGATTAAATTCGTACTTGCTCGCCGTGCGCGTCACATTTGAGACGCGCGACAGATAAGACGGTGCGAGATAGAAAGAGAAAAAGAGCTTCTCTTCTCACGACATGAAAGAAAGGGAAGAGACGAGATAGGAAATAGAGAGGGATGAAAGCACGTAAAGACACGAGTAGAAACGAATAAGAAGGTGGGAAAGAGGGAGGTAAAGAGGAAAAGAAAGAACGTTATGCGCAATTGCAAGCTAAGAGCGAGACGAAACGGAGCGAGTGCTGTTGCGATAGTGACGAGGAGGGAGAACGTGCCGCTAAGGGAGGAGGTTATACTTAAGGACCAATCAGAATTGAATTCGTCACGAATACCGCGCTGGTGTGGCATGAAAGTTCCTACGCCGTGTGAAAGTAGTTCCAACTCGGAACGACGCCCATGAACGGCTAGGCACCGCCCCGCAGACCCCCACTATCAAAGCGCGCGAGGTACCGGCACGCTGTGTCCGTACCGTACTGAAGAGAGAGAGAGAGAGAAAGGAAGAGAGATGGAGAGAACCGAGCGTCACGCAATTTTCTGCCTTCTCTTTCTCTCCTCGGCGTTCGTTCGTGGGGATACGTGTACCGCCACCTTTGAGTCTTGTAGCGAACTAATCTCGCCAGATCCATTCAGACATTCAAACGACCAACATCAACGAGCTATCTCGCGATTATCGTTATTGCGATAGCATCGTCGTAAATTCATCGTGACACTGAATAACCTGATCGACAAGTTGTACACTAAACGAGATAGTAAACAGGTTTAGGAATGTAAAGCATTATGAAACACCTCGATTATATTTAAGATCGCATTAGATCGAACCGGTCTGATATCGAAGATACTTGATGATGCGAGGAAATGTAATGATATTATCATGAATACCTTTTATGAGGTATACCGTTGTTTTACGAATCAATTAAATGATAATCATACAATTAAAATGTCGTAAAAGTGAGCTCGTAAGGCCAGTCAAGCAAGCAACTTCTACGGCGCGCGCCACTAGTATCGGGAGTGTTTATTGGGATGTAAATGTCGCTGGATTATCGTCCCCGCGGTTCGCACCTCGTAAATTATTCCGTAACGAGCCGAGTAATGCCCATCATAAGCTGCTCGCCGAAGCTGACCCTAGTTATTTGCTTACGCGCTCTTGCCATTATGAACGCTTAGAGTATTAGCCACCTGCTTTACTTTTAAAAATACACGAGAGTAAAAGATATCTAATTTCGAATATTTTGAATACTTAAATCGATATAAATGCAAAATGGTTGGACCATTCCAAGTAAACAAAACGACATTCACAACATGTTTAAATAATTTGCTGAACAATCGACTGTATAAAAGTTAGCTGCTACCTCCTATTTTTTTTTATTAAATGGTAGTAAATATAAAAGGTAGTAAATATAAAAAAAAATGTAATATATGTATAACCCTAGAATTATACTTCCATTAGATATTTGCCGTATCTTGTAGGTACATTACGCATCATCGATCGCTACGTTGTAAAATCTTATAAGTGTATAAATCACATAAAAGCTTATTAAGCTTTAAATTTGATGAGGTGCCGTTGATGAAGACTCAATGCAGTTTTCGCTTTTGCGAGACTCCGACAGGTGGCAGCCCGTTTACTTGAAAATCATGACGGCAATAAACTTCGGTTTTATGACCACTTGAACAGAATCGTAAAAGTCAGGGCCTTTAAGCTTATAGCGTTGAAGGGCGCGTGTCGAATATGGTGGGGGCGTGAGGAAAGTCACCATATGAATGGGGAAAGTGTAACGGGTCATATGAATACCCAAAAATGGGCCTAAATGCCTTTTTTAAAACGGTATTTATAGCGAATGACTAGTTTCAAAGATACCCTTTGGTGTTAAATATCGTTTTAATGATTTGATAAGTTTATCGATAAAAGTCAATTCAAATACTTACTATCTATTTATTATTATGTTGTTTCGATAAATTCCGTCATCATGATAGTATGTAGTCTAGTTTTAAATGACAAGCTACCCAGGTAGCAAACTGATGTTACTTATAGTTAGCATGCTAATTAGGAATACAAATTGAGTAAATTATATGTATTATATTCCAATATTTTATGTGAAAAAATAGAAACAAATATTATCAATAGAGACATAGGTATTATCACTAACTATCGATCATAAAAATCCATATGAATAATATGACGTACTTTCTATAGATCTTCAATAAAAATCAAGGCAACGAAACGAGAATTTCGAAGTAGGGATTAGGAGATGTATGAGAAGACAAACATGAAAACGAAGAGGCCATTGCACCCGAGTCGAGCAAATCTGTGCTCTTGCTAAGCATTCATTCCTCATCGCTCTGGTGATTTTGGCTCGTCCACTTTCCTCCAAGCAGTGGTTCAATGCACTACTTGGATGTTCATTCTAGTTGAAGTTTCCTTTCTTCTCTATTTCATCGCTTTTCATTTTGCACATTCATACTCACTTACAAATTGTATCTCTTTTTTTGTATTTAATTAAGTAATATTTAATCAATAAACATGATAATATTTTAAAATGAATATTATTGGTATCGTTTTTTTTTTCACATGAATGAAATATTGTGAGAATCAAAATACGAAACGTGTATGTATATGTGACACCGAAGAAAACTAAATTGGTAAATTGAAGAATATTTTCATATAGAATAGCGAATTCCGTCTTATTTAATTTTTTAAAAATTTAGAAAGCAAAATGTTAAATATAGCATCTTATTCGAAGTTAATATAAATAAATAAAAATTTCTTTAATTATATGAGAGTATTAATAATATAAAATAAAATCTTAATAGTTTTTTTAATTATATAATAATTTAATTTTTACTAACACTCTAAATATTTAATTATATAAACATTTAATTTTTACTAACTCTAAATAAATATAATCTTAAATGAATTGGCGTATTTTTACAGTAGCTTTTTCAACTAGACAATATCATTCTTGTTTAATTACACCATCAAAAATTAATAAGTTTAAAAATAAATGTTATTGATTAGCGCACTACATATTGATCGGCAGCGCATCAGGAGTAAAGATAGAATTGCATAGTAAGGATTCGGAAGATGCTTCCTTTGCCATCTGGTGGTCCTTCGTGTCATCACCTGATTACAAAAGTTGCATCGAATTTTCTGTAGTTTTCGCAGTCGATAGGAATTTAATAACCATCAATGCATATATATGTATATATATATATAAAATATAAAAATTTTTTCTCAAAAATTATAAATTAAAACTATTACTGCTGCTATCATTATAAACAAGACAGTAATCGCTATTTATTTTTGCGTTGCATAAATGCATTTATAAATTACAAGATAAGGCACGGTATTTATACATTTATTTTCTATAATACAAATTAATAACTAAAACAAGAATATCGACATTTACGAGTATGGTAATGATCGAAATATGAACAAGTTTCTTGTAAGACAAAAAAAAGTAGTTGAAAGATTATCGAGAGTAAAACGAGTTTGTAATAAAAAAAGAGACACGCGAGAACAACTATTATAATCCAGCAGTAATTGACGACCAATTAATTTAATATGTTCAAGACTCGTTAAGTTTAAGAGTGATCTGCCTTACCGGTTGAGAAACTCTCCCACAAGCAGGGTAAGGCGTTGAAGGATAACTGCGGTTAGTAGAAACCCTAGAGACGTGAGAGAGTCTCTGGATGTTAGAATATCGCAATAGAACATGTGATTCGACTCTACAGTTATTAAATATTTTATAGTAAATTACAATACCAGATATAATAAAAACCAGAAACAATTTCGAAATTATTACTTAATGCACATGATCACGTTGCGTTTTTTATGGCAAGCCATTGATAATGATATGTTTGATGTTAGAGTAATCAATATTTGTCGATCAAAGGAAAAAAGAATTGAATATCGAATTAAATATTTTACTTTACAGAGACATTAATAAGCTTTACAAAAAAAATTAATAAATAGGTCGTAATAGTCCATAATTGTATTATACGAATTCAAGCATTTTGATCATGTTTCTAGATATCTTTTATATTTTACAATTAAATTCTGGAAATATTAAAAAATTCGAAACTAATTTATATATTGTAGGTATCTACAAATTCTTTACAAAATTAATATTTAAAAATACACACGCTAAAATATATATAATAAGTTAATAAAATAACCAATTAGTAAAAAGTAAAATAAATAAATTTTATAATAATTTGCTATTTGTAAAAGCAAACAAGTCACATTAATACGTTTGAATTGAAACATAAAATGAAATGAATGAGGCCATAAATATTTAGAGCTAATGGTAGGGTGCGGGTGCATAAGCTATTGCTAGGGGACTATTAATTATGCTAACGTAAGAAAACGCGTATATCCTTGTAAAGAGTGACATTTGTTTGTTGAAATAAGTTTAGAAAAAATT